TAGAATCTGTATTATTTTCAAACCTCTTTCAGAGAGACTGCCTGTTTGTTTTGCTTAAGGACAAGCAAAAAGGTAAGTCTGGGGGAGTTGATATACCATGATTTTGACCGGTTTTTAGTCACGGTATTCTGGTGTTTTTACTACTATCTACTATACTATTGAAGCTTTTAAGCATATTTATGAGTTCAGGAGTATTTTGGAAGAAAGTGATGTTTTTAGAGCATTTTGGAGAAATTTGGAAGAAGCGTTCGATTTGAAATCGATTACGAGGTCGACACAGAGCGACTCGAATCGATTGACATGCACCCTGCATGATCAATCGATTATCAAGACCGAGAAGATAATTCGCGAGACAAGTTGACTTGAATCCAAATCACCAAATGACGATTTTACCACTGACGAGTTTTAACCTAAGTTTATATACTCTGCCAAAGTGTTAGAGGAAAGAGGGGGAGTTTTTGTATTCTTTTCACATCAAAGTTTTAGGGTTTATAGGTTTTGGAGAGTATATCATCAGAGAGATTTGAGATTGGAACTCCATTGTTTTCTACCTATCTATTTATCTATAATATGCAGTTTTATCTATCTATTTGTGTTATTAACTGCTTAGCTATGTCTGAGTAGTTTACTTGTTAGATTTAGGGTTTGAATAGATTAGAGGGATTAGCCCCAACTATAGGATTGCTAGTTGTGATACTCATTAATAGGATGTTCTTAACGCTCATGGTTCTAGAGTAGCTAACTATAAACATTGAATCATGGATTACTTAGGTTAACTTAGAGACATTTAAGCAATTCTGATAGTCTTGAACTCATCCCTATTAAGCTAAAATTGTTAGAAATATAACGATAGTTTGATTTAGAAGTCTTTAGTGACTTTATGTTAACTTGCGTGTATTGCTTAACCGGACTCATCGATCGATATTTCGAGAGGAAATCGATCGATGATGAGTTTAGTGTATCGACCGATGTTTCTACTGAATAATCGTTCGACACTGTCTTGTACGACTAGCCGGTCATTAGACTATTTATTCAAGCGACAGTTTATTGAATTAGTTAATTAAGATAGTTAATGCTCTACGGTATCTTGCAAGCAAATGAATAGCTCTTATAGGATTATAATTCCAATAAATGAATAAAAATCCTAAATCTAGCATCTTTTCCATTTTAGTTTCAAGAGTCTTTATTTCCATTTTCGATTAAGTAATTATCTTGCTTGACTGGAATATTTCATGTTTACGTATTTATTGTTTTTGCTATTTATACCAGAATAGGTCCCATTCTTTTAACCTTTCCGGGGAGTCGATGACTATTCATAGCTATTACCTTGAGCTATATTATTGCTTGACCAGATTTGTTAGGTTTCCTATCTCCAATGGATTTGATACCCTAAGTACTGCAACAGATCTCTTGTTTGAGAGAGTAAGTTGCTCTTTAGAAATAAACATTTGAGCAGACATTAGCAGTCATAGTTAGCTACTTCTCTATAAACGTGAAATTTAATTGTGAACTTTGATTTATTATCAATACAAGTAAATCTTGCATTTATTGTTTTGAATCATGAAGCCCAAATAACAATAACATATGTTTAAACAAGGAAAATGAGGCTTATGACCTGATAACTCCTAACTTCTTCTCATGGTTGCCTTCAATATCATTGAAGTCCCCAAAAATTAGTAGGTTTTTATGTTGATAAACTCCAGCAGCAGCAAATTTATAAGTTTTTGTCGACGAACCTAAACCTGATGATACTTCAACATACATGTCAAAAAGTATTTCTGCCATTTTTTATATACATATTTGAACAATGGAGCAAAGGGTTTTCCAAAATGAATCTTGACCTCATCACTTCAAAAGATGGCTAATCCACCACTCCCACCTCTCTAGTTAAGATCTCACCAATTTTCAAGGTAAGAATACGAAGAAATACTACAACTTTATTAGTGAAATCCGAAACAATTTACTTAAAAATCCATACTGTTACAACAAGATGGTGTGATCAAAACTCTTAAAACATTACCCCCAAGTTAAACATTTTTTCCCGATGGTCTTTACAGTCACGCATTCCGGTCCACACAATCAAACATTACCTGCATCACATAAGGACGCATTAGCATACAAAAATACTCAGTGAGGATGCTCAAAACCGTCTACATGCAACCGTAACATCTAGCAACCTAGCATTCTCTTCGATTCTGACAACCTAACATTCCAACTCATTATAGCAACCTAGCATCCCATTCCATTCTAGCAACCTAGAATTTCATTCCATTCTAGTAACCTAGCAGTTCATTCCATTCTAGCAACCTAGCATTTCATTCCATTCTAGCAACCTAGCATGTTGTTCATTCTAGCAGCCTAGCCTTCCATCCCCTACTATCATCCTATCAATCCATTTCATCCTCATACTTAAGCATTTTTTTCTGAACTTTCTTTTATCTTTACTCATTGATTTTAAATAATTTTCAGTTTTTTAACCATTTTACTCATCCTCAACCCCAAAGGTCTTTTACGGCCCGAAGCCAAACATACTCAGCCTGTAGCCATCATACTCGACCCCGAAGGTCACTTACGGCCCAAAGCCAAACATACTCGGCCCGTAGCCATCATACTCGACCCATAGGGCACTCATCACTCGAGCCCATAGGTTCATCATGGCCGAAGCCAACATACGGCCCGAAGCAAAAACATAACATCCTTTACGGCTCAAAGCCAAAACATAACATCTTTTACGGCCGAAAGCCAAAACATTCGTATCATCTTTTACAACCCGAAGCCAAAACATACTTTCCTTATTTACTTTATATCATAACCAGTTTCCTTAACATTTTTTCATTTAACATATTGTTTACTTCTAGATCAAATCTATGTTTTTCGCTTAAACATTTCCAATCACTTTCGATTAAAACAAACAATCTAGAATGACATATATTCTAAGAATGCAAAGAACGTTCTTCGATCTCTGAAATTACTTCGAAGAACGAACTTTCCATATAACACAACATTCATTCATACAACCTAGCATTTCCAGATCCAATTCACTAATATCTATGCTATTGAGTTACCACGAATCACATCCTCACCTTAGCTGAATCTCAAGGATTCAAAGACTCTGAACTTCCTAGCGTTTTCCGGCGAACAATCCTTCGCTCTTCCTCGTTCGATCTTCCTTCTCGAACTCCTCTCTCCAAAAGCTTGTTTATGCTCTGAGTTTACTTTAGGCTCATTTTTGGGGTGTGTGTAAGAATGAGAGCTAAAGCTCTCCCTCGACTTTCTCACCAAGCCACCCATTAAGTGTTGTTTCCTTATTTGGTGTGGTCAAATATTACCATCAATGTCTTGAATTAATCTCTACGATTCTTTCCTTATATGAGTCCCGAAGATCCGACCTTCCTTCTGTATAATCCTGCAATGTTAACTACTCGATCGTTCCTTATTTATGCCCTAACCGTTCCATAATCAGTTACCGTCTCTAGGCCCATTTCAAGTACGTTCCATGAACTAACTAACGTTCCAACACTTAGTCAAAATACAGCTCATTCTTCCAATCGCCAAGAATACAAGTTTTTCCACACTTAGAAAAATATGCTTCTTGTAGAATTAAACTTCTCTCGATTTTTTTTCTACAATTTAAAAATACTCCGGGAGCGGGTCGTTACACTTATCCTCCATATATGTATCTGGAGTTTTCCTTTCACCAACATGTTCTCCATAAATAATCGCCATTTTTTGCAGCATTGGAATCCCCATTTTCCTCCAAACTTCAACCCGAAGACTACTTTCTACATTATTTCCATATATCCAGCAATTGCGGTAATTCTTTATTGTATTGTCACATTTTTTCAAGTCTCCATCAGCTCCTCAGATTGTTGCAGCAGAATATCACTCCGGACATATTTCACAACCATGGTTCAAACGCTATCACAAGTTGTACAGAACATCTGTAGCCCATTAATCAAAAGTCAAATTGCCATAAATGAAAGTAAAGCTAAAGTATTGGTAAAGGGTTTTAATTTTTGTTAATTGGTTTGCATATGTTGAAATAAAAGAGCAGTAATATGATTCATCAAAATCCTTTGGTAAACAGGAAATATAATTCATGTTTTTTTCTTAACAACAAGACATTACGGGATTTAATTAGAGTTTAACGGGTAGTTTTTCCTACAGGAAAAACATTTCCTTCGTAGTACCATCTGATAGCTTTTGTTTATTCTTCTTTTTTTCTATGAATGTCAAGATTAAGCTTTAATCGTGAATACCTTAATTTGGTAATCGTCTGATCAATCTTTGATTTATTCATCATCTTACAAACTGCATACGCCGGACAATATCATGCATTTTTATTTCAAAAGCTGATACTTTCCACTAATAATCAATAAATGAATGTCTTGAAAAATAATGTGATCGGCTACTATTTGTTGAATTACTTGTTTGATTTTGTTGTATATTCATGTTCGTTTGTAGCTCTTTTCCTCTGTGCTGAGATTTATTTCTATCAAAAAGAAAACAATATCATGCCATGGAATAAGTACAACCTAAATTTTGTTACCTTATAATTTTATCGTAACTAAATATACTTTGGTCAAGGAAAAGTTTCATTCTGTAAACTTACAATATCTGATATTGCGGTATTCATATATCAAATTTATAAATTTCGTTAATGTGAAAATTATAATTTAGTTATTAATTCTCTAAATGTATATCAGTCATTTAATTAAAATATTTAATCTTATAACATTTACAGCCGACAAGAAAAGGTCTTTTGATCTTGGGTGCTGCACTTCATGTTTTAAAAATTGTAACATCCAATAGATAAAACACACATTCAAAACAAAAGATATATTAGAACATAGGTAATCCATCATGCCACTTTAATGAACTACAATGTAGTAATAATGAGCAAACATCATTTTTTTAATTTAGAAGCAAAAATACAACTTATAAAACTCAAAAAGACGGAAAAATATGCGAGGAGAAGGGGCAGCAGATGAACTGAGATTCTAGCGAACGTACTTGCGAGCCCAAACATGTTTTCCATCAATAGTGAACTTTTTTTTGTTTATTGGAGTCACGATCTCTTTAATCTTTGACGCATACTGCATCTTCAACACCATCCTCGCAAACAAGGGCTGCTTATTCTCTTTCCCTTCGTCCATCACTATGGTTTCTATTACTTCCCCAAACTTCCTAGTGAAGTAAACCCTAACCTCCGATTCAGAAATCGGATATCCTTTGGAAAACGTCAGAAACACTGTCCTATCATCAGCTGGTGTCACCTCTTCTTCGGCCTCCGCCCTCTCCGTCTCCATCCCGGCGGCCTTTGCTTCTTTTTTAAGAGCTGGAGCAGGCGCCCTTACTTTTGGAGCACTCACCCTTACAGGGGTTCCCTGTCGAACACTCGACCTAATAAGGGTTCCTTGTTGAAGACTTGGCCTAATAGGGATTTGTTGTTGAGCATTCCACCATATAGGGGTTTGGTGTTGAACACTAAACCTAGTACGGGTTTGTTGTGGAGAACCCAACCTTAACCTCTTCATCTCCTCGATGAAATTCTCCCTCTCTAACTCCAACTGTTGCTTCTCGTTTATATCATCGAAAGCTCGAATGCAGACATCGCTCAGATTCTTGGTCACTCCAGCAAGAAGAGTTTCGCGGTTTTCGTTGATGTATCTGAGGGTTAGATAGCTGTCAGTTATTTTTTTGAGCAAAGGTATAACCACCTCATCATTGTTGTTGTGGTTATGGCGAACGTGCCTTGTGTAGTAGTCTTGGTTGCATAAGATACTTAGACACTCAACAACTTCGTTGACCACCGCGTTTATGGACCTGTCATCTAATGGGACAAGACACGCGATCAGGTTGCGTGCGAAGCCGAGTTGCTCGACCAAGAGGAGAAACGCAATCACTTGGGAGGATTTATTCATGTCTTGTTTTAGATCCACGACGAGACGAGTGAAGAAGTCTCTGTCGATTTTGTGGAAAGAATGGAACTCTTCTCGAGTTACCTCCACTTCATATGGAGAAGGGCATGAGATCGAAGGAGAAAAAGTATAAGCCATGATATTTTTTAGATTTTTTATGGTGGTGGTGCAGTGATATTTGTTCTAGACTTAAGTTTAAATAGATGATTGTACTCAAATTGGTCAAGAGGTGCGATCTTTTTTTTCTATAATATGCTTGCTTCCTCGGTCTTATTTCTTATTAATGAGATTGAAAGTCATATACTTTCAGATAGAAAGAGTATCAATGCTTTGTCTACTGATAGAATCAAGACCCTTGGATCATCGTGGATGATTCATCATTCATCTCTCAACCCTCTCTTCCAATAATTTTTGAATTCATTCCTTTTTAGCTCTTTTTTTATGGAAACCCCTGATTCTTTTCTGATTACTGAAGCCAAAAAAAAGATCTCATATATTATTATATATTAAAATTTTACTAAACTAAATTAAAATTGTGAGGTAAACAATTGATAATATCTTTCTGTATAAAGTATGGTTGAATGAATTTTTTCTTTCTTTTAATGTACAATAATAGCATTTTGGTTTTTGACTAATATATATAAATGACATTTCTTATATAGAATAGTTTTATAGTAGAATATTTGAAAGAATGTAAAGATTACATTATTTTTTAATCTACAGGTGTCCTAAATACTTATTTTCAAATGAAGGTGCAGATCACAAATGTAGACTCTCTGGATATTCAGATGAACTGGAAGCAATAGACGTATATTTTTTTAACCATAATATGAAGTATAGTGGGGGGAGTGCCTTTAAACTTAGGTTTCTTAGCAACCCGATACTCACCCACTAGACCACTATCACGTGGTTAGATTACATATGTTTAATAATGAAGGTTACAAACATGGATAACACCGGAATTTTTAATCTTTATAGCTATTTTATCTCTACACAATCATGATCTTGTGAATAGTCAAAGTTGCATTCATATAATAAACGTAAGAAAATATAAAGATAAGATTACTAGAAGTATTTTCATTAAATATAAATTTAATAATAATTTTTATTTCTTTGTAAAATATATTTATTACTCTGAATAAAAGCTTTAGAATCATAATGTTTCAGTACTCTTCAAGTTTCAATATTCTATGTTCGATAAATTAAGAGGTTCTTGCATTGTCCATAACAAAACGATGGTACAATCCTTGTTTAGCTTTTTAAAGCCCCAAAACAGTTAAAAACAACAACCAAAATAATTATCTTGGACATCTTAATTTTAATTGAAATTAGAACAGAAAATTTTACAATAACAAAAAGAAGAGAAACATTAATTGGATGATAATTATTGTTAAGGTTTTACAACATTTTTTCAAAAACTGTGGTTTGAATATTTTTTTCATTATCTTTCTCGTTTTTCTTTTTCCTCTTTTCATTTTTATTGTGAAATCTCAATTTAGAATTTATTTAAACCATCGTTAAAAATAAATAAATGCAGAATTAACAAAAAGGTAATACAACAAAAATAGCAGAAGGCGATTAGGATATATATATATATATATATCTGAATATCTTACAATAACACAAAATAAGAGAAACAATAATTGGATGATAATTATTGTTAAGGTTATACAACAGATTTTCGAAAACTTTGGTTTGAATACTTTATCATTCTCTTTCGCATTTTTCTTTTTCTCCTTTTCTTTTTTATTATGAAAGCTCAATTTAGAATTTATTCAAACCATTCGTTAAAATAAAGAAATGCAGATTTAATTAAAAGGTAATGCAACAAAAATAGTAGAGACAATTAGGATATATATATTATGCAGAGATACATATCAGTGACCGGAAACCTTAACAACTTATTTGTATTAGTTCGGTTGGGATATGATTGGAAAAGATCTGGTATGTGAAGTTAAATCTTTTTTGATACATCATACATGAAAGATGGAACCAGTCATATGAACTTTTGTATGATCCTAAAACAATTAAGCCAAAAAAGTTAATGAATATAGGTCCACTGGTTTTTGCAATGTGATTTACAAAATGATTTAAAAATATATATAACTTCGAAGAAAATAACAAACTTAAGAGAGTAAAATATGATTGAGGAAAACACCCATATTTGATTTTTATATTGATTGTGTGAAAAATATAATTTATAATCATTTAATGTGTGTTTATACAAGCCTCTTTTCCCTCTAAAACATCATTGTCACTAACAATAGTTTTCATAGTCCTAAACAACATATTGTACTAAATGAATGTGATATTTTACTGGTGCACAGACATTTAAATCAATTTCAAATCAACATAATAGTATCTGAATCTCAAAGCACCTTCATACATGATATAATGATAACATGTAACGTCCTAATTTTGTTTGAACTAATGCACTCATTAAAAGCAAAGAAAAGAGTCTGACATACTTATGGTGATAAAGAGATGCATATCACTAAAGCGTACGATCATTTCGAATGGAATTTCTTAGAATACACACTAAGAGCCTTCAGTTTCAATGGACATTTGAACAAATGGATTAGGACGAATTTGAAGTGTATAGAATATCCATTCATTATACATGGAAATATGCAAGAAGGTATAATGACGCAAAGGTGTCTCTGATGGTGACCCCTTATCTTCATACCTCCTCATAATAATTTTAGATGTTTTGATTAATCTAACTGTATCTAACATTCGGTGTTAAAAAAGGGAAATTAAAATTGGTGGCCTTCTATCTCAGCACTCCTCTTTGCATATGATTATTCTTTCTTTTTGTCAAGCAAATGCTAGGAATTTCACAGAAACTGAAGAATTTTCAAAGAATATGAGCTTTTATCAGTTCAGAAATTAATTCATCCAAATTTATAATCACTATCGGCTCAGAAAGGTTTGGTGACCTACAACTATAACATAAGGACATTCTAAAATTTCCAGATCATGGAGGAGATGATAAATAGCTAGGGTTATTGGAGCAATTTAAACGTTAAAGAAATCAACATTTTAAACAAAGATAAATAATCAAACTAGGGCACAAAATTTATATCTCATACTGACTAAGAAGTACTTACTAAATCAGTGAGGGTTTCAGTGCCAGTTTATTCAGGGTCTAGCCTTAAATTACCAAAATTAATAATGGATGAAATAACATACTCCCTCTGTTCCTAAAAGATTCATATTCTAGTTTTTTCACATTTTTTAATAAAACACAATAAATTTGCATAGTTTTTTGTATTTATCTTTTCTCCATAATTTTAAACCAATCAAAAATCAATTAGTGCAATTAAGTTTTTTGAAGTTTACAAATATTATTTAATAAAACATACATTGAAAATGTAAAAAATGAATCTTTTAGAAACAAATTTGTTTTCTAGAATATGTATTTTTAAGGAACGGAGGGAGTATCTATTAATGCATTTTCGGTGGGAGAACGGAGAAGATAACAAAAGTATATCATGAATTGTATGAAAAGTACAATATTCCTAGACTTTGAATGGTAACAATTTAAACTGTGCTATGCATCCATTAATATACAAAAATCTCTACATTTATAAATACAACTACGCAGTTTTGTTATTGTTAGAAAAGATCTACAATTATTCTACATGTTACCATCCAGACCCCAAGAAGAAAGAAGATTCGGGTTTTGAGGATTTAGCAAGTTTTATTGGTGTTCTTTTGGTTAAACAAATGTAAGGACTTCACAAACACATGGCCTCCTTATTTGCACGACTAATAAAGCTTGATATTACAAAGACACATCTATATTTGAAGTCACAAATCAATCTTATGAATGAGTTATACTGTTACTAATTTAATTACACTACAAGAAATATGAATATTAGTAGCAGTTCGCGGTAGCACAAATTTACTAACTGCTACCAAAAGTGTCAAAATAACAATTCTATAGTAGCATTAAATCCTTGTTAAGATAGAATTTTATTAAATGGGAAGGCAAAAATCACTACTATAACTGAAAAAATCATTTTGGAGGCAAAACACTTAACCAAATTTTCAACTTTTAGCCACTTAAGCAAAATTTTCATTTCCTCTTTACAAAAAAAAATCACTCAACCTAATGCATTAAATAAAACACTCATATCTCCTTTCTCGAACATTAATCCCTCTTCTCTCTATCTTTCTTCTTCTCCATTAACAAATCAAATTTCTTTTTCTGATTAGTTTTTCAACTTCGACAAAACAAAGCCGTTCCCGTTACCTCCTCCTCTTCGACTACGATTCCTCGTCACAATCAACACCTCAATCTCATTATCCATTCTCTGGTGGTGGCTTCAATCCGAGCTCAATCAATGGAAATCATCTGTTTTCCCTATCCAGAACCACACTCACCGGCTGGCTATGGACCTTCACCTCCAACCTCAACACGAACTCCCCGACCCTGACGAAGCTCAGACAGGCAGGTCTGGTGCTGGCCGCTCGCAAGGTTCAGTTTGGTGCTTTGTGTATTCTTTCTCAGGCGATAATCCAATTCCTGATGTATGCGAGTTTCCAAATTGATGGTGTTGTCTTACAAAGAAAGTAGCTTCGTTTTGTATCACAAGTCATATGGTATTCTAAGCATTGACATTTTTTTGAAGTGATGTCAGTTGTTCCGTATGACAGTCTCAGGTGTGGCAATCACTTTTGGCTGTTCGGGCACTTGTGCTACCCCCCCCCCCCCCCCCCCCCCCCCC